AAAAATATTTAATTTTTTTTCTATTAACTTTAGGTCTGATTAACTTACTCCTTCCTTCAACGCCCTCTCAAAAACTGAACATGTCACATTTGTCTACAATCACGATATATTTGTTACTTACATATTTTCCGCAATCATCAGTGATTGCCTGTCTATGTTCCGGTTTATTGGGACATGAAAAAATAACTCATCCTCCTTCACTCTCTTAGCTTAGTTTTCTATTTAGCGTAGACCTGACATTTAAATGGCTTATCAAATCATAACCACGTCTTTTTTTTTAAATTCTGGCATTCTGTTCCCTCTTTTAGCATTCGGAAAAGAGGGAACACTGTGTTTTTAAATTTCCTTAAAAATCATTAAATCACCAGTTACTTAGCATCATCTGAAGAAATATAATCATAGTATTGAATCATGAAAGCTTTTATGTAGCAATTTTAACATTAATTTAATATAATCGCTTTATAATATATATATATATATATATATATATATATATATATATATATATGTGACGGCACTTTGTCCAGGGTCGAATCCCTTGGTCACGGCTCCTCCTGGTCGCTCCTCGCTGTTCCAAGTGTGACGTTCCAACCCCTTGGTTAGATGATTACCAGCCTCGCCTTTCCCAACTCGCTTCCAACACCTGTTTACGAGGGTAACTGTACTGATCTCCGGTCTGCCTACCCACGTTGTGATTAGATCTTAGACAGACGGGATCAAACAGGGATTGGGGCCGTATGCAAGTTGAGTTCGACGGGGGTGGCAAAACACAAGTAAAAGAAAGAAACTCACGAGACCAAAAATTACTGATAAAAAAGGGTAACAACCTTTTTATATCTAATGTTCGTTACATAAAAATTATTCTTACTTCCCGACCCGCTTTGTGGACTGGCACCAAGCTTCTATCATACAACTTAAAGACTTTTGAGTTGCCTACTCTCTAGAATTCTGTGTGTCGGAGTGTGGTTTAGTTTTGACACTGGGCGCTAATCTCTACCAGTCGTTCACGACTGATTCTTCTCTTCGGCTTGAGTTGGACGTATTTCTTCACTTCGACTTGGTTTGAGACGAATTTCTGTTCTTGGGCTTGGTTTGATTTCAACTTCTTCTATGCATAACTGCAAGTAACTTCTTCTTCTTCCGTCCTGCAACTCTTCTCTCTGCCGTCTGAGGTGATCTGAGCTCTCTGTCGTCCGGGGCTGAACTGAGCTCTCTGTCGTTCGGGGCTGAACTGATCTGCTTGTTTGGCCTGCAACTTTACTGCCTGTCTGGCCTGCAATTCTTCGGCCTGTCTGGCCTGCGGCTCTTCTTCTTATCTTCGACTTGGCTGCAACTTCTCTGCGGCTTTCGAACAATCTTCTTCTTCTTCGACTTGGGCTGGAAGGATTTCTTGTCTTAGGATTCTCTTGCCCGCAAAGGGGCGAATGAACCGGGCCCGATGCCCGCGTTCAAGTTCCCTCGCTGCCCGCGGTCCAGCTGCAACTGATTTCTGTCGACTGGGGTCCTGCTTTTATTGACGCCGCAACAAACTGGGGTGGGTCTGTCGGCGTCAGGGTTTTCTCGATAATTCCAAAAGTCGCATTATTTCTGATTTCCCATTATCGCTATTATTTTCACCCCTACTTCCTCACAGTGCCACTGGTGGGGAGGCGCATACCCATCTCTCCCGGTCTCTCGTATGTCAGGTGACCGTTTTCGACCAATGGGTCTTAATCGAGTGTCCTTTCTCCTCTTTCTCCCATATCACGTGACCGCTTTCGGCCAATGAGATTCTGGTTGGGCGTCTCCCGTACTTCGTGACGTCTCCAATCGGGTGTGGCTTATCCCGTCATTGTTCTGGGAAAGAACACCTTGCTAAAAAAAACAAAATCTAATTTGGCCTTTTTCGCACGCACGAAAAATGACAATCTCGGCCTTTCTCACCTTTCTGGTTTCTGTCAAAACAGCCCGCCGCTAATTAGATGTGACTTCGGGAAGAATTTTTTCCGTCTCGCTGGCGCTTTCTGTGAGCCAAGAACAATTGTTTTCACCTCTTTGTTTTTGCTCAGACCTGATAGTCAAAAATCTTAATTATCTGAATTGAAAATGTCTTCACTTCATCATCGTGGGGGTTCTAATTTTAACAGGTCAGAATCTGTATACAATTCCAGCGGTCACCTTCTCATCCCAAAAGACACCTTTCTCCGATTAATATTTAGTTTTCCATTGTTCTAAAAATCCCATTTCTCCAAAATGATAATGAGTCTTCTACACAAAAGTACGCCAGATGCTTTGACCGACATTTTTATCAATCGTACATATGTTCATACACTTTTACCAAGCCTGTTTTCTTTCTTTCTTTTAATTACCTTTAATTCTATTCTCCCAAATAACAATCTCCATTGTCACTTGAAATTCGGTCAGGCGCGTTGGCCTAGATACCTCTTGACACCTGTTTTCGCTAATGACCGGCCTTTTGCATTACTCATCCTCTTTCTCTTTTTCTTTCTCCCTTCTTTTTTTTTTCTTCCCTTAGGATCGCCTAAGTACAATTAGAGAATTATTCTCGAAACTCAATTATTCTTCGTCAAAAAAAAACTAACAACTGGTTAATAAACCGAATAAAAAAATTAAATCATATTTCTATGAATATTTCTTTTTTTTTTGTTTTTCTAATAATGCAGGGTGCCACATATATATATATAAGAGGGTCATTCAATAAATAAGGTGATTTTTTCGGTATAAGGACTTCTAATACAGAGAGAAGCTTACTTTTTTTCTTTTACTTCTTTTTCACATGGATTCAATTTCTTTTGCAGATTAAAAAAAACTTTGAGAGTTTTGGTGATTAACAAAGATGGCCGACAAAGAAGCATGCTCCAGGATTGAACAGCGGTCAGTTATCAAGTTTTTGGTTACTGAAGTGTGAAAACAAGTTGAAATTCATAGGAGAATGTCAACTGTGTATGGTGCCACATGTTTCAGCCAAAAAAATGTCTGTAAGTGGGCAAAATTGTTTAAAGAGGGACGGAGCAGTGTTGAGGATGAAGACAGGCCTGGGCGGCCTCCAGAAGTGAGGTCAGCTGAGGTGATCGAATCAGTCAATGACCTCATTCAGTCTGACAGAAGAACTACTGTGAACTGCTGAGGCAAGTCAAGAAAGACTTAAAGAACAAACGCAGGGGTCATCAGTCAGAAGGAGTCATCTTGCATCATGACAACGCAAGGCCTTACACAGAAGCCCAAACGGTGCAGACCATCAACGAGCTGGGCTGGGAACTGCTCCCTCATCCCCCCTTAGAGCCCAGACCTTGCCCCTTCAAACTTTCACCTGTTTGGTCCCTTTGAAAGCGTTCACGAGAGGCACGAAGCTTAAAAGTGACGATGAAGTCTAAAGTGTTGTGATCGACTGGCTGAGACATGTCCAAAGATTTTTACGCTGAGGGAATACGGAAGCTTGTGCACAGATGGGAAAAGTGTGTGACAGTGCTGGGAGACTACGTTGAAAAAAAGTAAGCTTCTATCTGTATTAGAAGTCCTTATACCGAAAAATCCACCTTTATTTATAGAATGACCCTCGTATATATATATATATATATATATATATATATATATATATATATATATATATATCAGCCAAATAATGGGGTAATGATGACCCTTGAAAAAGAAGGAATGATGTTAGTAAGACGCGTCCACGCTAGAAGAATAAGAGTGACCGCTGTATTCTGTCTTTCAACATTTTTTGTAAATGTATATATTTTTATACTTGAAAAAAAAAACTGTTTAAAAAAAGTGTTAAAATATACCTTTTTTTTTTAAGCATTACGCCCCGAGCATGTCGTGAAGCCACTAGGATGCAGGGGGTTGCAGAAGATTTGGAGCAAGAGCAGATAAGAGTGATAGAAGAAAGGATGAGGAGAAGGATAATGGATAGATCATGGTAACTGGAGATGTCGATTGACATAACATTTGAAGGGTTGGAGATTATAGCTCTCAGGGAAACTGGAATAGGGAAAGGTGTTCCACAGGCGAGAGGTGCGAGGTATGAAGCTACTGGACTAGAAGAGATAGGCTACATTTAATAGTTTCTACAGTGAACGAGTGAGAGCGGGATGCTAGCCTAGTAGGGCGCTTGAATTCATGAAGTCTGGGAACAAGTGAAAGCAGCTCATCCCAGCGATTACCATGAAAGCATTTGTAAAAAAAGACAGAGAGAGGCGACGGCGCGTCTGTGAGAGAGAAACTGTAGACGAGATGCCAGAACAGGGCCAATTATATTACATATCCGCCTCTGGATCTTGTCAAGAACCCCGAGGCAAACAGAAGGTACCCCAGACCATATACGGCAGCAATACTCCATGCAAGGGCGAATGGTTGATTTGTATATTTGAAGTATCCATTTCGGGGAGAAAAATTTCCTGGCGCGGCACAGAGAGCCAACTTTCCTCGGGGTGGAAGAAGCAATTGACTCCATGTATTTGTTCCATCTCAGGTCAGCAGTCAACGTGTGACCGAGCAGACGCAGAGAGTTGCTGTCAAGAAGTTGACTATCAGACATTCTAATGGGGGGTAGGGAAGGATTTCTATGGTGATTAATAGAGAATAGTTTAGTTTTTGAGGCGTTAAAGTTGACCAGCCAATTCTTGCCGCAATTAACAACCGATTGGAGGACAATTTCAAGACGAGCGGCCAGGTTAGTTTTGTAAGCGACACTAGATTTGTTTTTGAGGCAGGAGTAAATTGTAGTGTCGTCCGCGTAGATGCCGACTTGGGAATCTATGGAGCCAGTAAGGTCGTTGATGAAAATATGGAATAGAGTGGGGCCAAGGATGGAGCCTTGGGGAACACCTGCGTTCGTGGGATGAGAAAGACATTGAATTGTTGAATTTTTGTTTCAGAGTATCATACACTGTATTTTTTCTTTGCTTTTCTTTTTTTAAATCACGGTCTTAACTGTTGAAAATATTGGAAGAATTACGTCAACCATCTTGTTTATTATTATTATTATTATTACTTACGTATATCCATAGGAACAGATAGATAGATAGATAGATAGGAAGGAAGGCACTGATCGAGATAGGCTGATAACATGGGAGTGTTCATACCGAATATGTCTAACATTAGTTTTTTCTTACTATGTGTAGAATTTCTTCTTTAATAATTTTTTTTTTATTGAAATGCTACACGTTTTCTCAATTTTGTTCATTTTTTTTTTTTGAAAAGTTTCCAGAAAAGAAAAATAAGGAGAATAATTCAAGAAATAAAAAAGAAAACATCTATTCTTATCGCTTCGTATACGGTTTCTTTTGAGGAGAAATACAATCTGTCTCTTCCATTGTGCAAACCCTGTCATCAGAATTTTGGCAATATTACAAAAACTACCCATGATGGACACAGAAATTGTTTCATACTTGTTGCAATAGAAAAACTGAAAGGTTTGACACGCCCTTTGAAAGTCGCATTGGCTTTATGATTTTTAGGCTCGTGAATTTGGTTGAGTCACTAATTAGACCAGAAGACTTTAATCTGATGCTTGAATAACAAATGGTACATACTTTTCAAAATCTTTTGCTTTATTCATAATCTGATTTCCTTTATAATTTGTTTTTAATAATCTCACAGATTACTTTTCACATTATTAAGACGTCAGAGATCAAGTAAAAACAATACTTTTGTTTTTATATTATTGTTCCCGCAATACATGTCCCAAGAGAAATTCAAGCTTGATAGTTACTGAATATTATAAGGACGTACATGGAGGGGATATAAGGTGCATAACATGAGGATATGTAGAATAGATAACAATTTTCCCTTAGACCCGAAGAGTTTAATATAGTAGTGATCGGAGAAGGATTCTTTCCAAAAAGTAATAGTTCTGGGGGAGGATCTGATTGGGGAATGTCTCCAGACAAACTCTATACAGAGGAAATGAAGGTGTATCGACTCTGTATACGTTATCTTGCGGATCCTATCTGTGAAGAACTTTGGATCCTGTCTGTGAAGGACTTTGGATCCTATCTGTGAAGGTCAAGACTGATGGAACGTGGATCGTTTTGGAACTTTCAAAGTGAGTACTGGGCAACTTCAGGCCAGATGTGACAGCCGTGATCCAGTCTTGCTCTGATTGGGCTCTTGTAAACGTGTAAGCATGACTGAAGGCAATAAAGCAAGGCAATAAAGCCACTAAGACGCAAGGTACTATTGAGTGTTTGATAACATGAGTAAAACTATTGTTAAGGTGAAAAGACAATAAGTGAAAAAGAATTAAGAAAACAGGAGATCACGATTGACACTGCATTTACATACTTGAAGGTCAAAGTTGCCTCGGAAGCAAGAAGTTGGAACAGAGTTCCACAAGCGAGAGGTGCGGTAGAAGAAACTGTTAGCATAGAAATTATGGTAGCATGTAGCCAATGCAACTGTTAATTAATGAGACGCCTATCAAGTACTGCGCTTAAATTCATAAAGTGTAAACAAAAGTGAAGAATTATCATGAATAATTACCATTTATAGAAAAGTCGCAAGAAAAGTTACGTTACGACGCTGAGAAAATGACTGAAGGCGTGATACTAGATCAAACCCAATAACATTGTAGATTATTCAATGGATTTTACAAAGAATTTCTAAATATATAGCCGGGGCATCAAACATGATGTGGCAGCAATATTCAAAGCAAGGACGAAACGTATGATAGATTCTGGCGAGAAAAAAATGTCTAAGTGGACAAATTGAACTAACTTGCTTAGCAATTTAATCAATATATTCTTTCCACGTCACATCATCTGAAAAATTTAGTCCGAGAAGACGTAATGGTTCACTGTTTTACAGGCTGGCATTGATGTTGTTAAGATTGTTTCAGTTCTGCATCGGAGAAATTAATATTTGTTTTCCGAGTCTCTTCTACATTTTTTAAGTGCTTCATTTGTCCGAATGTTTCCTTTGTCTTTTAAAATGAGTAAAGGCCTTGTCGTTTTTCTAATTTTGCACAACTTTCCTTAATTTGAACTCGTAGTCTTCTTGAAGCACAATTTATTATTATTATTAATTTATTATTTCAACTGCAAAACAAACAAATGTTGTTGGGGATGGAACCAGTGTACTATCTGTTCACACCCACTGGAATGAGGTGGCATATTTTCATTATAATTCGAGAACTATTCGGTGTATACGAACAATCCCAGTGAGTGCAGTCTTCTGCAAGAATTCAGTCTTTATATTTACTTTGGAAATTTAGTATGCAGTGCATCAACAACGATGGAAGTGATTTCTACTCTTTTTATTGAGAACAATGTGTACACTTCCCATTTGAAAGTATCATAGTTTTTTCTTTTCTTTTCTTTGTCAACTACTGTATTTTCTTCGGTGCATGCAGAATCTGTGATGATGCAGGTTCTGTTTCTTTATTTACCGTCACAATGTCTTGTTTTGTATACAATACCGCATGGTCACATTGAATCATAACATCCAACAGCATTTTGTACTTGACATTCGAATGACACTTGCTAAAGTTTGTCTTTCATTATTAGTCATGGTATTTTCTTTTCTTCCACACAGACTGTTCATTTTCAACGGGAGATCTTGCATTAATTTTGTGTTCTATATCAAATCGCATGTCCCCAGGTAGATAGCACCATTTCACAGAATACTAGAGTCAAGCAACGCAGATTTCTTCTAAAGCGATGGAATGCTAGACATTATTCCAAATTTCTTAATGTAGGTTCGATGCTATTGTCACAACGCCCCAATGATACCTGGAAAAATAATGGCCTAAATTATTATTATTATTATTATTATTATTATTATTATTAATAATAATAATAATAATAATAATAAATGTAATGCCCTGTATTCCTTTGGATCTTGTTGGTACGGTTGAGAGGGATGCCAAGTTGTCTGGACAGCGCATGGCCTGTATATTCCATCGCCCAGGCTTTCACCCTGGTGAGGTCACTCCTGTTTCACTAGAAAAGGAGCGAATTCTGACCAAACACGGGGCAACCAAGGAATTTGAAAAACTATCAAAATTTATTGAGAAAAAAGATAAACGGATACCAGTGGTACTAATTGCATATTTTATAAAAATAATAATAATAATAATGATGATAATAATAATAATAATAATAATAATAATAATAATAATAATCAATACACACAGACAGAACAAAGTTAATCGCCCAGGTAAAGACAACAAAGACAAAATATTGAAATGGCCGTCCCTATAGGCTGTAATGTATCTTTGAAGAGCTTCTATAAAACTATCGAGGCTCTTGAAGTGGAAATCTAACAAATGTGACATATGAAGACATCAATAATTCCAGTTGTGTTTGACGTCCAGGAATTGATTGGAAAATGTTTCTGATAGACTCATTGAAGGAATCCCTGTTAGATCTTGCCTCAAAGAAATGCAAAAATTGTTCTTAAAATCTATTTTAGCTTTATCTATGAAAAATGTGGTGTGATCTTAGGCTTTTGCTTTTTTATTATTATTCAGTGGAAAATGCGATGATGTCATTTCTGACTTTGGGTCTCTAGTTGGGACCCGGAAGGAAATGAGTTTACAACATTAAACCAAAAGAAATAATAATAATAATAATAATAATAATAATTCCACGTTTCTTGATGTGTTTCGTGTTAGCAACCATTACCAAGGTTTTTTACGTTTCCCTGAGATAAAGCATAATTTTTGCAGGAGGTTATTGAGCTTTTTACACTGAGTTTTTCTAAACATCTAAGCTCATAAGTAGAACTATTATTATTATTATTATTATTGATGTTGTTGTTGTTGTTGTTGTTATTATGATTTGTTTTTGTATTGTGTAATACCAGTCGTCCCCAAGTCTAAACCAGAGACTTGAAGAGACGTCAAGTTTTTGAATCAGAAGATGCTAACAGATAAGGAGTCACACAAACTGGGAAATTATAATTGTGATCATTGAATAGATAGAAACCTACGTAAGATCTAAAGCGTACACATGAGTGTGATTTTTTAAATTTCATGTATTTTACGGCTACCAGAAATTTTTCGACTTATTTGTTTGAGAAAGTCGAAAATTCCATGTGTATTATATGTTTGATTAGCGTACACATATATATATATATATATATATATATATATATATATATATATATATATATATTTAACTTGTGTAGCACGTGAGAGATAAAGCGTATGTCAATATAAAATTGGACATTCAAGTCAACACCCAGAGGCGACGGTCTGTTTCATGCTAAACGTCATGTGCTCATGGTCTGACGTTTGTGTTTAGTATGAAACAGAATATCGCATTTGGGTGTTGACTTCACTAACCATTTAGCTACTGTTACTGGTTACTGTTTTTTAACTACAATCTTCCCATGATTTCTCATGAACGTCCATATCTGCTCAAAGCGTATATTAACGTAAACAAATGACATAATAAAAGGTGTTCCAATAACTTGGAGCTATTTTAAATGTGGATTAATTTAAACGTTAATTATTTTTTTTTTCAGATTTAACAACTTAAGCCTTTGGCAGTTTCAACCATGGAAACATTAATAATCAAACAACGTGATAAAGTTATTGAAGCCTATTGCGAAAATAGACGTTCAAACAGAAATGCATTTCGCGCACATGGCGATTTATTTGGTCAACATAATCCACCAACCGAGAGTGCAATTGGATTTGGTTTATTTGGGTTTTTTACGGCATATCAACCTCAATGGGTTATTTAATGCCGATAAAATATTTTGTTTTATCAAAAATCTGTTTCTGATAATATTTTTCCTTCAACATTGTATTGCTGGTAATATTTTTTATCAAAAAAGTATTGCTGGTAATAGTTAACTATTTGCACATAGCTGGCACCCTAACAGGTGCTACCACTCCGGGTCAGGGTGAACCTGGGAACATCAGCAATTAAGATATGTTTCCACGCTCCTCAAAACATCCTGATCAGAGGCTTTGCTGCTGGACGTAGTTTATCGTCTTACCCAGGGCGTGGATGTAGTTTAACGTCTTACCCAGGACGGAGAATGCAATTGGAAACGATGTAATGTTGTCGCAGAGAGGTTGAATTCCTGCGCGCGATGACAGTAGAGGTGTCCTGCATATTCGGCCACATTCT